ACTTTAATGACGTGTGCCTCGTGTAAATGACATGGAAAAAGACAGATCCTCAAGCCATTATAAACAAAAACACTTCAATTATGTTTTACTATTCTTTATTTACCATACCTAACAATTTAGTTTACTCTTTAGCAAGTCATGATTGTTTTACAGTAATTACTTTCTGCAGATTTAATTTTCTCGAGGAACTGTCACGTCTATCACGGTCACACACACGCCAGTGCTGATGACGCAGGTCACGCACTCACGAGCATATCGCGCTCACCTTACAGACACAACTTACGAAGACAAAAAAGAAATTAAGATAAAAATCATACGCCAGAAACAATCGGGAACAGACCCAATTTTTTTCTGGTGTAGACGATGCTTTCCCTGCTAGTTAGTGTGGGTATCGACCTGTGTTTTTTCAAGGTTTTGGTGTCATGAGCGTATGTGGCTCCAAATCGTGAAAAAAACATGGATTCGTATGCCACTTTCCTAGTTTGTGACGATTGTGTACCCAATTTTAATTTGCTGCAGTGTAAACGTCCGTTTAATGTTTTTCAACTGCTTCAAAAATAAGGAACACCTTTTGACTGAAAAGCCCTCGGCAAGGTAACCTCTTTCCCGAAGGTTTTTCCTACACAAGTTGCTGCACAGTTCTCATCGACTTTATCGAGTTAAAAAGACAAGTTTTAATCTATAGCTATTTCATAAGGAAAACGCAAAAGAACATTTATTGACAAAGTTTGTTTTGTATAACACACTTCTAGCAACTGATTCGTAAATGATGACGATTAACTTTTGACAAATAACTATATCCTACTCAACTGTATATAGATCAAGTTACAAAAACGCTCTTTTTGCGAAAAGAGTCACGATGATACATTTATGTACAAAATAAAGGTGCACACTAAACCTCCTTTGGGAAGAAAAATATCTAAAATTGTTTTATGCCAACAAATACTGCTAAACAATCTCTTGATTTACTCAGTTTTCCTCATCGTCTATGATCTGAATTATACTGAGTTTACTCCTAATGATTTATTCTATAACTTTACTCAGTGGTTTAGTTTTAATTTTTTTGGAAAAAGTGTGTTTTAAGGAGCTTAAGAGAGGAGAAATTATTTTTTCTCGGCATGCACCCCCTGCTATCAGAACTAAGGGTTTCTTTCATTTACAGTACGTATTTGATATCCTCGCTGGTTCTTGCTTCCTAGGTTTCCTAGAGAGACGAATGTAGTTTTTTCGTTAATTTTCTTCCATTTTTTGTTGCTCTTATCAGTCAGAGATATTTCGTTGCTTCGGTAATTATCATAATCTACTAGTCAGTTGAAAACAAAATACTGACAATGATGACAATTTTTTCGTTTTTCAAACCATTCCTTTTCATAATATTTTTCAAGTGTTCATTTATCTCTCAAAAGATTTTAAAATGAAGGTCCTTCAAGCTTGCTGATTATGACTTTAGTTATAAACATCAAATGGCAGTTTTAGATTCCAGCCCTCCAGTAAAGCATCATTCGCTGAACGCAAAGTGTCCTGTAACCATTCACCAAAATTATTGAAAGCCCTGTCAAGTAGGAATACATCTTGTCCGATCAGCGGTCGCTTGGCCGAAAGTCGGATGGTCCTTAAGAAAGAAAGTGTGATAAACCTTAGGATAACCCTTCTTATGTAGAGTATTTCCCAGTTTGCATGGAACGCAATGTATTTATTTCTATGATATACAGTGGATTATAGTCTTACACATGGGAAAATGAAAAGGACTATGGTCTGTGAACCAAGGTTTGTGTACTATTAGCCTAAAATGTGATATAAGTATTCGCTCTCGTGTTTGTGGTATTCTCATTTATAGAAAATGAAAACACCACTTGAGTGTAAAATAAAGGGGGGGGGGGACTCAAATTTATAATGATATATGGATCCCTTCGGATATGGCTACCGAGTTCTTAGTATTCTGCAAGTCATCTATTTCAATATTTCTCTGTAATTTTTCACTGGTAGGATTTCCCCTTGTATGCGTGTGTTTACCTTTACTTTTTACGTTAGGTGACTTTCGTGTAAATAGACGACAATGAGAAAAGTGGGTAAACAAAAACAGGATGTTACTAAAACTGGTAACGAGGAACGGCGAACGGGGAACGGGTGTACAGCGGTAACCCGCCTACGAATTCAAAATGGCGGAGTAAAGGGAACTAAAAGGGTCTCGCAACAAGGTTTGAGCACGTGCTCTTCGAACGCGATCGTCGGAGCAAAAGCATAGACGGTAAGTGTAGGTTTTATTGAAGGATTTTACTTTGAAATGTGGAGTGCCTCATAAATGTAGTTTTTTTCTGGCACACACTGCAGATTGCATAGAAATCAAATCCTCGGAGAGGTGAGTATCTTACAATTCCTGCACAACATTTGAACAATCAACTCAGAACTACAAGCTCGCGGCATTTATTCTTATATTCATAGAGTAATTGTACTGCAAGTTTTGTCGCTTAAAATGATTTCAGTATGAAATTGAAAACAATGTCTAAGAAGGAAAATGCTATTTATTTTAGTAAAAGGCAATTTTAACCTGGCCTGGTAGACCTTCATATTCATATTTTTTCATATTTTAGCATGTCTTCAAAGCTTGTTTGAGGGCCTTTCGAAGATTAAATGT